GAAGTTGTGTAAGTTCTGGAGTATAGGCCTCCAGAGGCCTTGCAGCCTCTGCCTTTTTCTTCTTGCGATGTTCCAGTCACTGCCTGAGGAAACCTGGGCTAGATTACTGAATGTTGAGAGACCAGATGGAGAGAATGGCCAAGCTGACAGCCAGCATCAAGGCCCCAGGCATGTGAGTGAAGTCACCTTAGTCCCTCTAGCCCCACCTGAGGCATTGGCTGACTGAAGTTGCCTGCAATGAAATGTGAGCCCAGGCAAGACCAGCAGAACTTCCCAGTCAACCACAGAGTTAAGAGAAACAATAAATCATGGTTGTAAGTCAGGGTCTGCCGGCCAAATCTGATCAAATCTGATTTATTTTTGCACATTTTTTTGTAAATAAAGTTTTACTGGAACGTCACTACCCTCATTCATTACATTATTGTCTATGGCTGTTCTTGTGCTGAAAGGCAGAGTTGAGTAGTTGAGACAGAGATAAACACACAAAGCCTAAACTATTTACTATCCTGCTCTTTACAAAACGTTTGCCTACTCGTATTTTAAGCCACTAAGCTTTGTGGTGTTTTGAGATGTGGCAATAAGTAACAGACAGAAGTTGGTGTGTTATCACCATTCTCTAGATCAGCAGAACCGATAGGAAGTGGCTCACGTGATTATGCGGGCTGAGAAGTCCCAAGATCTGCAGTCAGCAAGCCAGAGACCCAAACTGCTGATGGTGTAGTTCCAATCTGAGTCTAAAGGCCTGAGAACCAGGGGAGCTGACGGTGTCCTTCCAGTCCAAAAATCAGCACTCTCAAACCCAAGAAGAGCGTATGTTTCAATTCAAGTCTGAAGACCGGAAAAGACCCGTGTCCCAGTTCAACAGTCAGGCAGGAGGAGCTCCTTCTTCCTCTCGGGAGGCTCAGCCTTTATGTTCTATGGCCTTCAATGCATTTCATGAGGCCCAGCCACATTCAGGAGGGTGCTCTGCTCCACTCATTCTGTCAACTCTAATGTTAACATCATCCAAAAACACCCTCACAGACACACCTGGAATAATGTTTTGTCAAATATCTGGGCACCTTATGGCCCAATGAAGTTGACACATAAAATTAACTGTCACACTTGGTATTTAAAAGTGAGATGTTGCAGTAACAAAAACATAAAATTAACGACATTAGCTATGGAGTGGGAGGTGGGTGGAAGGTGGGAAGGATGCCATTAGTGAGGGTTGGAAAGAAGATGAGAAAACTGCTATTGGAAGCTGGGAGAAAAGGCAACCCAGGTTATGTAATGGTGGAACAATAGTCCAAAATAGTCCAAATTATTGCCCAAGGTAACTTGGAAATACAAAGTTACTTATTGAATTTGTAGATCTGGCCAAGGAAATCTCTAGACAGAATATTGAAAGTGCCAATTGGCTTCTCCTAGCTGCATATGATGGTGCATGAAGAGAGAGATGAGCTAAAGAAAAACTGTTTAGTTTGCAAGCAGAATTTAGAGGAAATATAGAAGACCCAGGACGTGCTTGATTAGAAAACAAGACTGTCTCTTATTTCCAGCACACACGCTCCCCATCCCAGCCAATAAAACATTCTCCAAGGAAAACAGGGCACGAGGCTAAAAATCCGTCAAGGGTATGACTGTGAGATCCTTTAAGAAGACCTCAGAAAGTGATAAGCTGATGCCTAATAGACCCTCTCAGCTGGACAAAGGGCTTGTAAGAATCTTAAGGGAATATCCCACAACAGGTTCAAAGTAGAGAGAGGGCTGTCTCAAGAAAGAATAATGGATGTCATCTTTGGACCATAGATTCAACCCCAATCAGAATTAAGACATTGTATTGTTGAAAATACCCCCAGCTTGGACCTAAAGGGGCAGAATGAAATGACAGTGAAAAGAACCTCTGGGCCTCTAGGCCCCCAACTTTCTATGGGAAGGAAGCAGGCAGAGAAAAAAACTACTCAGTTGCAAACATGGGCCATTTCCTATGGAAAAGGAAGGACAACTCAGAGAGCAGAGCCAAGGCCCAGAGAGTGGAGCCAAGAGCCAAGGAGAAGAATAGGTTATGGAACCACTCTGCTATGGACTGAATGTTTGTGTCCCTCCAAAATTCAGATCTTGAGACCCTAATCCCCAATGCGGTGGTGTTTGGAGGTGGGGCCTGTGGGAGGTTAATTGGGTCTGTGTGAGGTCATGGAGGTAAAGCCCCCGTGGTGGGATTGCTGCCCTTATAAGGGGATGAAGAGACCAGAGCTCGCTCTGTCATTTGAGGATACAACAAGAAGATTTCCATCTGCAAATTAGGAAGAGGCCTCTCACCAGACGCTGAATCTGCCAGTGCCCCGATCTTGGACTTCGAGCCTCCAAAACTATAAGGCTGTGTGTAAATTGCTGTTTAACCCCCTAGTCTGTGTTATTCTGTTCTAGCAGCCCTAACTGACTGAGACACACTCCAAGGAAGCAAAAGTGGGCCCTAATTAAGGAGTATGCCATACTTCTGGAATGGGGAAATTGGAATTTTGTGCCTGGCTGGATTTCAGAATGCTGTGGACCAGCAACTGCCGTGTGCCTCCCATTCCTCCCCTTTTGAAGGGAACTATCTACCGTGGCAACACACTTTACCAAGTATGCTGCAAAGCAGGGGCAGGTAACACGGCTCTTTAGTTTATAGTTCTCTGATTCCAGGAGAGCTGCATCTGAAGAGCTGACCTGAGAAACTGCATCCACAGCATCTCACCTGTATTTGCATTTAGATGATCAAGAACCTGGACTTTGAGACTGAGACTGATGCTCTATAAAGGAGTGAGACCTTTGGGCAGGGGTTAAATGTATTTTGTGTGAGACGAATGAAAATAATTCTGCAGCCCCTCCTATTAGAAGATGGAATCTATGTCATCACCCCTTCTACCTAGACTGGCCTTGTGACTTACTTTGGCCAATAGAATATGGCAGAACTGACATGAAGAGGCTGTCACTAGACAGAGCCTAGTCTGTGTGAGACTGCAGCATCCATTTTGCCCTCTTGGCACACTTCTGCCCCATGATAGAAAGCCCAAACTAGATACTGACTGATGAGAGATCTCATGAAGAGAGGGGCCCAGCCAACAACCAGCACCGAGGCCCCAGGCATGTGAGTCAGGTCATCTCAGACTTTCCAGACCCAGCCGAAGGGTCAGCTGCCTGAGGCCACATGAGTAAGCACAGGTAAGACCATAAAAACAACTACCCAGTCAACCGACAGAGCACGGGAAGCAATAAATTGTGGTTTTAAGCAACTATATTTTATGTTCACACTCAACTGAAGGAAATTCAGGAAGAACAGCATGTTTAAACTCGCCACCTATGGAAAAGTAATTATTGCATACAAATTCCAATATAACTTCCTTCTGTTAAAATCTCTCATAGTCATAGGCACTATACCAAACGGAATCTAAATCCAAGATCAAGAAAACATATTTGGATCCAAAAGCTAAACAGAACAGTTCTAAACCACAAATCATGCCACTTGTTTATTTTTATTAATAAATATATACTTGTTATTTATTATTGAAAAATGACCCTAGGGACCGTTTTTCCAAATTAGGAGCAAGAGTTTCCATCCCAGAACCTACCTGGGACAACCTTGAGAGACATATTTAACTCAGAAAATGCTGGTTAGCCACACAGACTGAGAAAGAGTATTAGTCAGCTGTAACAACATTGTCACTGCAATGAAGGCAAGAGGAATTCGGGGTCATTGTTTTAAAGCGTGGCTGACTGCAATACTGGCCACTAGAAAATTAAAATAGAGCTTGATGTTTGAACAAAACTCTCCGTGAGTGAATAGAGCTTTCTTCCTCTCATTGGAAAACAAAAATCATGTGAGCAGTGATGAATTTCCTTGTCACTGCATTTTAACAGAATGAGGGCACATCGAAGCTATAGGAATGCCCAGCCAGCCACTGGAGGTTCCATGTGTTGATCGGCGTCCTGTCCACAGCGGGAACTTCTGTGAGTCACTTTGGTTCCATGTCTCTGTTTCTGTTTGTAAGAAGGGAGCTCTTTTTCCCTCAGGGCTTGGCGCATTTCAACCTGTGGCTGTTCTTAGCATGCAAGAGCTAACTGGTATCTCTAGGATGAAATGCAGTTTCAAAGATTCTCCTGGCCTGACTCATTCCTCCTTTCTAGGGTTCAAAGTGCAGCTCTGCTGCTTACTGTGGGGCCTATGACAAGTTATATAACCTCTCCGAGTCTCAGTGTCCGCCTATGGAAAAAAATAATCGCTGCCCCTTACAGGAGAGGTGTGAATCTTAGAAGCACATGGGTACAATACCTCAGATAGTGCCTGGCATGTAATAGGACCTCTCTTAGAGGGTTTTATGTAGACCTAATAAGTTAATATTTGTAAGGCTCTCAGAACACTGGCTTGTACATGGTAAGAGTTTGTTAAATAAAATTAAAAAAAAAATCTTCTGGACTCTGTTGTAATCAGTAGACACTGGACCTCAGGGATTTTGTCTTCAATTGTGTACATGAAGCACAGGGTCAAAAACCCAATCATTTTGACCAAGACTCGTGGTCAAAATGCAACTGTACGTTGGTTTTCATGCAACCCACACGCGTTGGATGCCTGCCGCGCGCACTGTGCTAGGCACCCCAGAAAGCACACGGGAGAATGTAAGCAGCAGAGGAGAGCTTAGCAAACTGTTACCTAGGTGTTCTAGAACAGTCTCTGTGTGGACATTGATGTTGCCTGCTCAGCGTCTTAGTCTGTTTGGGCTGTTAAAACAGAATACCATAGACTGGGTGGCTTATTAAACGACAGACTTTTATTTCTCACAGTTCTTGAGGCTGGGAAGTCCCACATCAGGGCACTGGCAGCTTCAGAGTCTAGTCAGACCTGCTTCCTGGTTTATAAATAGTCATCTTTTCCCTGTGTCCTCACATGGCAGAAGGGACAAGAGAGCTCTCTGGCGTCTCCTAATAAGGGCACTAATCCCATTCATGAGGGTTCTACCTCATGACCTAATCAACCCAAAGGCCCCACCTCCAGATACCATCACATTCGGGGTCAGAATTTCAACATATGAATTTTGGGGCGACACAAACAGTCCCTGGCAGCATCCATCACCCTTTCTTCTACTTACTTTGGGGAGCTACCCACCCCAAGGGATACAGTGTTGGTGGGACTGCCCATCAAGGCATCTTCCTTCTCTGACCCATCTAGACCAATCAGAAGCTTTCTCCCTGGAATCAGAATCTCCATCTCAGTGCCAGGGAGACCCCACGAGACACTCTGGTTCTGACCAGTCTCTGAAACGCTGTCAAATCTCTGGGGATGGAGCCTGGAAATTTGTACATTTATCAAGGCCCCTGATGATTCTTAGGCTGTGAATTGGAACACAGGTTTCTAGGGCCACTGATACAGTCCACAACTGGACAGAGAGAACGGCATGGCAGTCCCACCGGAAACCAGTGTTTCTCAAACTGGCAGCTGGTTAATGAACTAGATTACTGGGTGGTAACCAGCACTTTCAAAGGCAAAATAAAGTAGAATAGAATGGAATGAAGTGGAATGGAAAAGAAAATAATAGAGTGCAGATAAGAAGGACGGGGAGTGTTTCATGAAATTTCTTTAATCAGTCATTTATATGTATGTGTGGGTTGATTTGCAATGCAAAATTTATTAATATATTTCTTACTGTGGGTCTTAGGAAAAAAGAAAAGTGTGACAGCCATGTCCTGGAGTATACTTCTGAGCTGCCTGGTGCCCCTGGCGATTCCTGTCATCATCAAGTAGATGCGGATGGGGGTGGGGGACTCTGAGAGGGAGGGGACGGCAGCCGGCAGAGAAGGCTAAACGCTCAGGAAAGTTGGTGGTCCGAGTGGGAAAGCTGCAAAATCGCGACGCAGTGAAAACCAAACAGCGACGGAGTGAGGAGCCGAGAGCTTGTTAACCGTGACTCTGACCCGACCTGGCGGCTCGTCTCTGCCCCTTCTGAAGACCAAGCGCTCATTCCTTCTTCAACTCACATCGCCTGAAACACCAAAGGGCCCTGCACAGCCCAACTCGTTCACTCCTACCAGCCCTTTAGGTACGGATATGGAAACTGAGACTCGGACATCCACAGCTGGCGGCACAGAGGTGGCCTTGGAACCCGTGTCCATCCGACTGACCCGGCACCCGGCTCTACGGTTCTCACCATCCTCCTCTTGGATGCTGGCACTTTCCAACAGGCTTCACTGCTCTGCCGCCTCAGCTCGTAGGCCGTGTCCTTTTGACCTTTTCCAGCCTCTACCATTCTCCATGGTGACAGAAAATACCCTGAGATAGCAGGGAGAGAGGGAGGCCCATCTCTGGTCTCGGTTTCCCAAAGGAGATTAGCTCGTGACCTGGAGCGCGAGGACTGTTGCGAGAAACGCGATTCCTCATCTCGTCCACACTCGCCAACCCCGCGCCTCTTATCAAAACACTGCGGAGGCGGCGAGGTGCCGCCCCTTTGGGACACAGCTGTTCCTCATCACGAGGTAAAACAAAACCGTGGCTTGGCACAGCCCAGAAACCTCTGCCCGATCTTCGCCTGCAAGAGAAATCGTTTGTCCCCATCCCACTGAGGCTTGAGAGGGAAGCTAAGAGGGAGGAGGGTCCTTGCTCTGCAGCTTGCCCAGAGGACCCAGCTGCCCTTCCAGGGGAAAGGAGGGAGAGGAGGACTGGGGGAGTCCCCCGGGTCCACCGCATGCCTGGGTTCAGGGTTTGCCCCCTAAGACCTGCCAGAAAGATTGCCCTCTGTAGAAAATGACCCTTGTCCCTCTTTCCATCTGTCTATCTGAAGCCTTTACTTGGGAATACGCCTTGGCTGAGAAGAAAAATGAAGCGTTTGTTTGGGGAAAATGTTAAATTAAATTTTTTTAAATTAAAAAATGTAAGCTTAAACCACTAACATGCACTGAGTGTGTGTGTGGGAGATTGTTCTAGAAAAATGGCATAAAGAGGCAGAAAGAGCTGTGATCGGAGAATCAGAAGATAGGGGCATGAGTCATGGCTTTACCACTTCTGTCCACCTCTGAGCCTCAGTCTTTTCTTCTCTGAAATGGGGGAAATGATAAAAGCTGTGTTGGATTCAGCAATGCCTGGGCAAACTCCTGCCACGTGCCAGAAAACACGTGGGAACTTTTCACCTGCGTGAACTGAATGCACGCTCGAAGCTATCCTGTTTGGGGGAGATGACATCCATGTTGTGGTGTGGGTATGGAAAGTCCATTTTAGGGGTTTTCCTGGGGCAGCAGACTGGATCTCCTGATGGTACACCTCGGCTGCATCGTGGTTGCCCCAGGCTTGTGTTAAGTAAGAAGGCAAGGCTGAGGGCCATTCATTCATTCATTCATTCAATAGATATTTGTCAAGTGCCTGCACTATGGCAGGCACTGCTCTAAGCTGGGAAAACGTGGGTGAACAAGACAGATAAGGTGGCTGCTCTTGTCAAACTCTCTTTCTTCTAGAGGAGAGAGATTATAAGCAAATCGACAATGAGGTAAAGGTAAGAATAAGTGCTGTGAATAAAATAAGAGGAGCCATATGATGGACTAAGCTCCAGGGCATGACTTAGAAGGGACGGAGCCTCCTTCAGAGCAATGTTATCAAAACACAGACTGGATCCTACCGACTTTAAGGAACAAATGTGCTCTGCCACGTGCCCGAGGCCTTGGGTGCCCCGTGCCCCGTGACTCTGGAAGCTCATCCTTGTAACCACTCCAAGCTGTTTGCTGCCTGTCCTCGGTGTTCCTGTTCCCTGTGATAGACGTGCATCTGATCCTCAAAAGAATATCAGATAATGAGAAGAAGAGAGGCCAAAGGACAAAGCAAAATACATGTTTTTATGCCAGTTTGAACTCAATTTAGAAAGAAACATAAGCCGTCATCAAATAGACCATGATTTTTCTAAAATGAATAGCCCGTGTGTGTGTGTGTGTGTGCAAGTGTGTAATGGTTCTTTCCATTTGCAGAAGTTTCTTTGTGGCCAGAACTCATCAATGAGTTTTGGGTGTCCCCTCCCCCCTACCTGTCACGTCATGCTGGTTATCACTGGGATATAGAAAGAATCACTCAGGAGCTGAGGACCAAGGACATCAGGATCTCGGTGGTAAAGCAGGGGACTCAATTAGACTCTGGCCCCCAGCTGCCCAGCCAGATTCACCCCCTTCCCAGACCCACCTCAAGGCCACGAGACCTTGTCTGTCATTGTGCAAGAGCAGAGGAGAATTCTCAGTTACATGCCAAACTGGAGTCCCATCTTTAGCTGGCTTTGGCCTCATTCGTCATTTCCCGTTATCTCTGTGTCCCTGGCACATACCAGAGACTGCAGGCTGCATGTTCTCCTGTTCATTCGGCCATTCCCATTGTGATCGTCCACTGCTGATCATGCGGAGTGGGACAGCACAGGACCTGAGAAACACAGCACAGGACCTGAGAAACCACGTGGCTCAGCAGCTTTATGTAATTGATTTATGTATTTAATTATTTAATTCCTGAATGGGTTTTTGGCCACCAAACCCTTTGTTGAAACAAAATTTCAGGTGGGGTTCTAAAATGTAAAACAGAAACAATAGGCTCAGGGACCCAGAGTCTCTCCTTCGGGGCACTCCCTTCTTACGGCAGCCCCTAGTGAGCCCCTTGAAGTGCTCAGAGCTCTCCCCAGCAGCCCAGTTTGGAAAACACCCATCTCATTCAAACCCCCTCCTGTTACAGAAGCACTGAGGGAAGTGAAAGATCCCGTTTGCCTGGCGAGTTGGTAGAAAATAGGTGATTAATTCCGTGCAAAACAAAACAAAACAAAACGCAAAAAACCAGTGGTAGAACGAGTAAATGGCTACTGTGGGAGGGTCGTGGCAGGACCCGGAGGTCGGCCCAGGAAGCGGATCACCTGTGTTGGAAGGAAGCGGTGGTCCCGATTGCCAAGGAGCCCCATGTGCATCGCACATGAACGGCAGGAACTGGTGGAGTGAGAGCTGTGATGACAGCTCCGTAATGCATTTATCCCAAGGTGCTCTCATGCACGTTACGGTTTTGATATTTTTACTTAACTGGAAGCGGTCAGTCTGCTGCATTCGAGGCAAGAGAATGGGTCTGCCATCAGCCACCCAGCGAGAGTTCTGCTGCCCTCGGAGTGTCGGACAGCATCCCGAGATGCTCTGGCTCCATCTTAGTGTAACAGCCACCTGGAAAGGGTTTGGCGCCGAGTGTCACTGCGAGAGAGACAGACCAGGGGAAAGCGTAGTGGGCTGGAGGCTGTGTGGCATAGAGGCAACATGTAGGAGCGAACTAGCTGTGTGCCCGGGTAAGTTTCTTAACCTCTCTGGGCCTTAGTTTCCTCATTTATAAAATGAGGTTGACAACAATAGGGTCTGTCTTGCAGGGTCAATGTGAGGGATCCATGAGGCGAACCCTATAAAGTGCTTAGACTAGTGGCCAGCTCATACTTAGTAAGTCCTAATAAATGCTAGTTCTTGTTACCATTACTGCCTCTGGCCTGGTGACACGTCTTCCCCCAGTTCTCACCAAAGGAGGCCAAATTGCATTCGCACTTAACTGCCTTTCTGAAGACCTGAGGAAGACTTCAGAGGAGAAAATTCTACTGCTTGCTAACAGGCAGGTGCCAGGTGTGCTCTGCTGATCGCTTTATCTGCTTTTTGTCACTTAAATCTCACTCTAGCCCCAAAAGACGGGGACTGGAAGCTCTGTTTCAGAGATGAGGAAACCAAGGCTTGGGGAATTTTCATCCAAAGCCACACAGCCAGCAAACAGGGGAGCCAGGATGCAAAGCCAGGGATTTGACACCTGTTTTTGTTTGCTTGTTCTTTTGTTTCCTCTCAGTAGTGTAGATGCAGGAGACATGGGCACAGTGAGGGCACAATGGCTGCTGCTCCACGATGAGATGCCAAAACTCGACGCGGGGGCAACATGGCAGCTTAGACAGGCGTGCAGTTCAGGGGGCCAGCAGCAGCCTTGGCTCCCCACCTCGGGGAGTCCCAGGAACCAGCACCGTGGGGGGAGTCCTGGCGGCCCGAGGAGGAGAGGCACAGCGACGCTGGGTAGGGCTGGGTCTTCTCGCTTCAGCACCGTTTGGCAAATTCATCCCTCCTGCAGGTTCTGGGATGGAGACCCTGCTTCATTGTGAACCAGCTGTGTGACCTCCCCCAGACCTCTTCCCCTCTCTGCAATTTGGTTTCCTCCTCTGCACAATGGGAATAACAATTCCTGGCATAAAGTGTTATGCCATACAGTTTTATTTAATGAAATACTGTGGGTATGCCATTGTCTTGTAATGTCTGTGTATTATCCATTATGTATGCTGTGCGGTACCAGGAGAACTTCTATGCCTAACAACCTCACTCATCAAACCTGAGGAGTTCTTTCAATTTTGGCTGCACCGACTTTTCACAGGGTCACCATAGAAATTCTTAAGATGAAAAACTCTCGTTTTTGAGTAGAAATAATATGATTGTGCTGAGTGCTGATTCACAACCCCCTGGGGACAGAACGAGAAGGGAGCTCAGAAGCCTTAGGCCCAGTACCAAGGGGCACTTGCTCCACTTGTAAGTGGCAGAGTGCAAATTTGAACCCAGGTCCGTCTGAGGAGCCCCTGACATTTCCTCCACACCATGTGATCCTCTAGGGCTCTAGACACTGACGGAAACAGCAGAGGGGATCGATGGCTTGGTATTTATCCATCTTGTCTGTTCTTGTGTGTTCGCTCAGCTCTGAGCTGGTCACATGCAGCCTCTCAGAAGGTATCTGTTAAATTGTGCTGTAGAAAGAAATGCCCAGCATTGTTCCTGGTTCTCCCCTGCCCATGCCCACCAGAGCGGATCCTGGGCCTCCCCAAGGACGCAGTTGTCTGGGTCCTTCTGCCCACCTGAGCTATACACCACGGTGATAGTTCCCCGGGAATCCGCACACTTAGAGCAGCCAAGTCTTTGTAAGTATAAGAAAGCATGTCTCCCCAGTTCCGCCCCTGCAGACAGGCTCATTTTCCAGGTCTCCCTGCCAGCAGGCCGACTCTATGGTTGATTAGGGTAATGAGGCTTATGCAGGCTTCCTCTGTCCCTCCCCATCTCCTTGGCTCTGAGCGTTAGCCCACTGTCTATCAATACTGTCTGGCACCAGAAGAAAGCCCCTCTCCCTTCCTGCACCCAGCATCTGGTTGCCTGGAAACCAGGACAGAAGCCTAGAGCATCTTGGGTTTCTTTTTAATTTCCCTGCCAGGTCCCGAAAGCAAGCAGTATTTGTTTTAAGCAGAACCTTTGCACTGTGGAGACTTGCCTTAACCTTGCCCAGAATGACGTCATCAACCTGCGTAAATGTGATGCAGAGAGAGAGGGACAGCCATTCCGGGCTCAGTGTCATTTGGTTATCGGTACACAGAGTCATAATTAATAGTGAAAGCTGAAGATGGATTGTTTCAGAGGGAGCCAGGACTAGGGTCAACTCGTGTGTGTGTGAGTGTGTGCGCATGTGCCCATACACATGTGTTCAAATTGGCAGCTTTGTGAATTGCAGCTTGCAGTAGCCACGTGCAAAAGGGAAGAGAAATCTTTCTTTCTCCAAAAGAACAAAAGACCATCTTGAAAGTGAATGTCCTTCAAAAGCCACACAATTTGGGGTAGAGGCTCCAAGACCCTCTTTGGCTCACCCCCAAGGTGTGTCTCAGTAGGAATGTGAATCATCTTCAGATAGGGCCATAGGAGAGGTGAGGATTTGAAAAGTCACAAATGGGAAAAGAACTCCCCCGTCCCCCACCCCCAAATCCTTTGGCTTAACACTCAGAGGGCCTGCCAGAGTTTAGGACTAAACCTGGCCCCTGCTGCCTGGAGTATGTCCTGGCTCAAGCACCTGGACGCTGTATGTTCCCAAGGCTGAGAGGCATTGCATCTGTAGTGGGTGGGACTGGATTTTCTCTCTTGTCAAAGCTGCCCCGTGTTCCCAAAATATGAAATCTTTTGAAGAACCATCAAATCAGGCCCCACTGAGAAAGCAATTTCCTGGGGATTATGAGCCAAGCGTCTTGCCCCTCCCCCACCTTGTCACCCTAAGTGTTCTCCCATTTTATAGATGAGACTGGAGAGGCCGGGAGCAGCCAAGGATCTTGCCTGAGGTTACACAACTAGTGGGCAGTGGAGCCAAAATTTGAATTACACAGCTTACTCAGAAATCATTATAAGAAACACTATCTGACTTCCTGCATCTGAAGATCTTTCTAGGAGATACTGGCTCTTAGAGCCAACAGTCTCTTGGAAAATTCTTATCACTCAGTGAATAAATTGAAATGGAGCTAATAATAGAGAGGTATGTAGCATGTCTGAAAAGATCTATTTGCTATGTCTTCTTGGTAGAGTTTTTTAAGAAGCGCTTTGACGTGCTTTTTACCAAGAGGTTGAAGTGTGGAATATTTTCACGGTGGAACTAAATCCATGTTTCCTCCTTCCCTTCCTTTCCTGGACTTCCTTTGTCTCTGAGCTTTGGGGAGTGCTGTGTGTTCAGTGGTATTTTCTTCAACACTGGTTTTCCTCCTTGCTGGAAGGATATTTTAGAGACAAAACAATTTGAAGACGAGGACACAGATGTTTTCCTCTCATAAATGGAGGCAGAGCATTTAAGCAGCCAGTCACCAATATTCAGCCTTAGGAGCCAGATGCCCTGGTTTCAAATCCTGGCTGGCCCCGCCAGGTTCTTGCCTGTATGACTAGGAGCATCTTGATAACTCATCCCAGCCTCCGTTTCTAATCCATGAGATGGGGATGATAATGGTTCTGAGTTACCTTAAAGAACAGAAGAATTAATGTGTAAAGCTACGAGCACAGTGCCTGACCAATATGGACTCAGTAAGGGGAGCCACTATTATTATTTTATTATCAACTTGGAGATTCTAGAGTTGACTAAGGCTGTGGGAGAAATCAGGACTGGAATCAGAAATTCCTGAACCCAAGAGAGGTGCTCAGAAGAGGCTTTCCCGGTACAAAGAAGGTTCCGGCACTGATCCTTGTCCCCAGGCGCCTGTATTCTTTAACATTTTAAAATCTTTGAAATAGTACTGGCCTACAGGGAAGGCTCTTCATACCCACTGTATAGCTAAGGTGATGCCTATTGCCTGCTTGAAGGCACAGCACTCTAGATTTCAGTGAAAGAATTTGAAATGATGACTTTAAAGAAAAAAGAAATAGAAATTCCACCCCAGGCCTCTCCAAGAGGAATGTCCCTTCTGCTATTTCGTGCTCATCCAAAGGCCACAAGAAAAGAAGTGACTGTGTTAAGAACAGGAATGCTGTAATTGCTGAGGGAGGAATTCTTCTAATTTCTGTGTACAAAACAAACTTGGAACATCTGTAACCACTTTTCATCTTTGTAGCCTTTATTGTTCCCTGTGCAAACATTAACTGGGCCCCAGCGTGTATAAGGCAGGGTGTTAAGCATTAAGGGATACAACACACGTAAGAAACAGACCCTCCTTTTCAAGGATTGGTTCCTGGGCCTGACCGCCTTCGTGCACATCCCTGAGGATTTGGCTAAGCCTCATCACCTGGACCAGCTCTCCTCAATCCCGTGGCCTCACACAGCAGGGACGGGATGGAATTATGCCTCTGTGCTTTGGGCTGGAACAGGATTCCAGGGCTGTGAAAAGCTTCAGCTACTCTCCTCCTCACCTCTCTCCTCCAGGACCCCCAGTCACCTTGTGAGCCCCCACTGTACCTATTACACATCGTCCCTGGTCCATTGCTGTGCTCAGTAGAAAGATAACTCTTCTTGCCTCTTTCCTTTCAAATTCTCTCTTATCTTCCTCACCCCAACCTGCCCCAAAGAAACCCAGCTCAGCAGTTTGCTAAGAGGGTAGCTTAATGTGTTTCCCTTTACAGGAGACCGATTTGCATTTTAATGCAAGTTTCCTGGAGCCTCGAGGACCATTAGAGACACCTAAAGGATTGAGTCTAATGGTGTGAACCTTGGGCGCCAGGGCCTAACATCTGGGTTCATAATCTTAAACATATGGTTCATTTCAAATCATGCCATCCACCAGCCGGCTGTTCCATTCCTGCCAGCCTTTACCGCAGCCACACACTTAGCACCTTCATTGCAGCAACTTACCATTCTTCAAACTGAAAGCCGTTGTCCTCGCTGCCGCCGAGGGGAGGAGCTTTGAATTAGGGGGTCACAGTTGCGGTTTACTGCTGGGAGGGCTCCGTCCCCTCGCTGCTGCCTCCCATCCTCGCAGCAAGCCTGTGAACAGTGGTGTCGCTGCTCCGCTTTACAGATGAGAACGAGAGCTCAGAAAGGGGGAGTCACAAAACTAGAAGCCAAAATTCAAACTCTGGTTCACATAATTTTATCCATCATGTTTACCCATGACCCGGGCAGAAGAGATCTCAAGATCTATCTCCAGCTCCTAGCGGTCATGATAAGCATCAGAACCATCAGCAGCCACGGAGCAGTGATTATGAACCTGGCAGTGGGCGCCTCACACATTTACGTTTGATTGGGTCCCACGCACCTAATGTGGCAGGTACTAACCTCACACTCATGGTATGAGGAAACTGAGAACTTCAGTCACTTGCCAAAGCCAAGGGCAATGGAGTCATGCTGTGCTCTTAGCCACCACCTCTTACTGCTTTTCAGTTGACTCACTGTGTGACTTTTGGCAAGTCCCTTAACCTCTGGCTTTTCTCGTCTGACAAATGCAGTCGTTGGCCTGGAAAATGGCTGAGGTGCCTCCCAGGGCTTCCACACGGACTCCCCTGTGATGAGACCAGGAAGTGGAGCCAGCCTAGCCGGCCTCCCATCTGTACTCCCAGGGTTTATTTATGCTCTGTGTCTCTGGCGACAACCGCTCGACCATATGGGCCGCCCTGGCATAGCACCGGCTCAGTGACAACCCTGGAAGCCGAGGTTCTGGTGTCCCCGAAGGAGGGAATTTAGTCCTCTGTGTTGCTGGTCTGCTGGAGGGCTGCAATCTTGGGTCACACCCTGAGCGGGTGCCCGCACGGGCAGCTGCTCTCACGCAGCCATCCCCAGGGGGCAGAATCCTCGCTGGCTGCCTCGGCCGCTTTTATTGCTTCATTATCTTTCAAGTCAGAAAACATGAGGGCTGCAATCTGTTAAATCGCCAGCTCTTGGGAGCCCAGCCCTGGCCAAATCCAGCAAATTACACTGTTCCTCGCCTTTCTTAACTGCCATCTGATTGCACACACCCAGAGCTCACGAATTACAGATGCCTTCTCTTTGTCCCCAGTTTTACCAACAGCACTGTTCTGTTGCAACGAGATGGAGTGTTGGAAAAGATTTTGGAAATTCTAATGCATTGTGCTCACATTATTTGCTTTGTTCCTTTTTCTGTTGTCATCGTTGGTTTCAGGAGGAAATGCCCCCATGAATACCCTGAAGCTGAAGGCTTGCAACATTAATCTGCAAGCCCCCATTATAGTACTTAACAGATTGCTTGTAGGCCAGATTGTTAGCTATCTCAGATCCTGAGCCAAGCTCTCCCAGATCCGGAGCTGCTCTGTTTTTGCAGTACACAGAGCGGGCTTTTGAGGCTGCAACAAGTACTGAGGGCACACTGTGACATCTTCACAGAATGATAAAGCTTGTTTGTTTTCCTGCACTAGGTTAAAGGGCTACTTCTTCATTTCCAAATCCTCCAGCAGCACCTGGAAAAACTACTGGAAATTTGTTTCAAAGACTTGGGATTGTACCAATACCTCTGTTTTTAAAAGACTGAAAACACCAGGAGAGTTGTTTTTCTTTCTCTCTGCAGAGTAGGAATTCCATCTTGTAATAATGCTATTGAAAAGAAAGAAAGACAGAAAGAGAACCCTTTCAAGGGCATCTGGTCTGAAGAGACGCCCCAACTGGACATTGCTTGGGCTCTGTTTTTCTTTCAGGGTGGGGCGGCTTTTCTTCTCTCCCAGAGTTTGTGGCTCACCCCAAGAGGCGCTGAGCAGCTGCCTGGGGCACCTTCTGGACTATATCAAGTACAAGGGGCAAAGTATGTAAACAGCACATGTAATTGCAACTGTGGTTATTATCTCTGGTGAACCTGATCTTGCAGCAACCTGATCGCTGGAGCCGCCCTCACGCGGTCCACAGACTCGGCCCCCAGCCTCGTGTTGCCTCACAGTGGGGTCTAAGTGTGATGATGATGATGAGATTAGCACCTTTTGCTTAGTTAATTTTGGATTTCTGCTAGCTCATATAAGATCGGCACCGTTTGATGGGTGCAAGGCTTTTCCCAAAGATAGTTCTCAAAAATCACTTGAAATGGCAGACTCTAAGCTTCTGTGTGTGGCCGGACCCAGGAGGGCAGAGAGCAGGTGGGGGAGGAGAAGGAGGAGGAGGAAGAGAAGGAAAAGGGGAAGGGGATGGGGGAGGAGGAGGAGGAGCAGCAGCAGGCAGCAGCAGCCAGGGCAGCCGAACTCGCACAGGCGTAAGGCCCACACCTGGCCTCAAGGGGGCACATCAGCTCCCTGGCCCTCCTGGGAGCCTGGAGGGCCTGGAGCAGGCCCAGAGGGGGAAAGAAAATGATTGAGAGCTGGAGGTGTGGGGTGACGACTCGCAGGCAAGGCAGATTAGGTCTTTGCATCTGGAATGATGAAGACCCAGGGAATGTAGACATAAGCCTGTAAATGCATGAAGGGGGTAAGTATGGCCATGATCATATGCCAGAAATCTCCACCAGGGAGAAGGAGCAGTCCCTGAAAGTAGAAGGAGGTCACCTGGGAGACAGTTGCCTCCCGTAGTTGCCTTTGCGCCAAGAACGTGTGGGGATCAGTACTTAGCCACAGAAAAGATGCGGCCCTCATTGCAGGGAGTCCTGGGCCCGCGATAAGGATGGCAAGGGAGGTCCTGGGGAGCGAAGACGCCCATACGCAACATTCTTCCTTCTTCCAGCAGTTAGGGAGTGTTCCTCTCAACAGGCACTGCCGTCAGGACAAAGAGGTGACAGGATACGGTCCCTCCCAGCAAGGAGCCAGCAGACAATCAAAAAACTACCATCGTTGCTGTTGCTCCGGGGGGTTTGTGTGAGGCACAGTGGGTGTGGGGCAGAGTGAAAGTCTGAGTGGAGCCGGGAGATCAGAGAGGCAGAGTCGCAGGGGAGTTTTGCCAGGCGGACAAGTGAGTTGCTTGTTAAATAATGGTAGTAACTACCATTTGTTATGTACTTATTAAGTGCTAAGCACTGTGCTAGCAATAGAGTATAATATAGTGTAGTACAGTATGGTATAGTATAGTAGTGCAGCATGGTGAAGTATAGTGTAATGTAGTACAGTATAGTGTAGTACAGGACAGTATAGTGTGGTACAGTGTAGATAGGACAGTACAGTATAATGTAGTACAGTATGGTGTAGTACAGTATAATATAGTATAGTACAGTGTAGTATAGCATAGTGATGTACAGTATAGTGTAGTGCAGCACAGCATGATATAGTGTAGTATAGTATAGTACAGTATGGTATAGTATAGTATAATATAGTGTGGTACAGCATAGTATAGCATAGTGTAGTACAGTATAGTATAGCACAGTACAGTGCAGTATAGGGTAGTATAGTGCAGTACAGTACAGTATAGTGTAGTACAGCATAGTATAGTATAGTGTAGCACAGTATGGTATAGTATAATACAGTGTGGTACAGAATAGTATAGTATAGTGTAGTGCAGTATAGTGTAGTATAGTGCAGTAGAGTATGGCATAGTACCGTATAGTATAGTGTATACAGTATGGTATAGTACAGTACAGTACAGTGTAGTACGGCATAGTATATTATAGTATAGTATAGTACAGCATAGTATAGTGCAGTACCATATGGTATAGTACAATATATTATAGTGTAGTACAGTATAGTATAGCACAGTATAGTGCAGTATAGTGTAGAATAGTGCAGTACAGCATGGTATAGTACAGTATAGTATAGTGTAGTATAGTATGGTATAGTACAGTACAGTGTGGTATAGTATAGTATAGTGTAGTACAGCATAGTATAGTATAATATAGTGTATTGTAGTGTAATAGTCTATAATATGAGGTAGGAGCCAAGATTTGACCCAGGACTGACTGTCCCCAAAGCTGGGCCCTTTACCATATATCATGTGCCTTTCCTATGTACACAACAGGCCCCAGGGGGCAACAGGACTTGGGCATGACAACCATTTGGGGCTATCTGAGCATTCTCTCCAGTGTCTGAGGTTGGCATCCTAAGCAGTAAGCGTGACCTCCTGCCAGCTGTCCTCTCTGCGTGGGTAAGACGGCCAAGCAGGAGTGTCTAGGCCCCAGCCGGCCAGGCCGCCCTCACGTCCCGAGTGTAAGGAGCCCCCAGGTAGCTGGCCTCTGCAGGGCCCTTCCTCACATGGATCAGCTTTGCTGAAAACAGCCCGCAGGGTGTCTGGTAGCTTAACCTCCATTCTCCTGGGAGGGAGGGTCGACCTTCTGCGCTCTCATCCTTAACCCCAGGTGTGGCTGGGGAGCATGGACTACGACACCAGTGGGGGCGGGGGGCAGTCTGCCGCCAGGTCTTGTTTCCCTCCAACATTGAGGCTTGGACACTGGAACGTTCTTGCTACTGGCTCCTCCTGGGATTTAGAAACTGGAGAAGATGGGACTGTTAGAAAATGAAAAATGATGAGCAGAAGCAATTTTCCTCGTGGGCTCCGGCCCCAGGAGGAGTGTCAGTCTTTGCTTTGGATGCAGGTCCTTGTCTGTTCTGTTCTTAATTTATTCTCGATCTGCCCAAGTGTAGTTAAAGTTAATGGAAAAGAGGAAAGTGGAGAGCAGGGAGCCGTGGGGCTGAGATGCTGACAGTGAGAGGCGGACAGACGGGGAGGTGTTCAGGCTGGGGCTCCTGAACTGCCTGCGCTGGAGGTAATGGGGCACATAGAACATTCCATTCTTAGAGGCACCACCCTATATTATACTGCACTATACTATACAATAGGGTTGGCATGGGGAAACGGGGCTGGCCCTACCTGCCCTGGCCCCTGGGAGGGTTCTGTCTGCGTCCTCCCTCTCACTGGCTTTATCGTCAGTCCTTCAAAATGTGCAGGAGAAGTTTGGAAATGGTGTCCAGCTGAAGGGAGAGGGGCAGCAGACAATGAAGGTCTCTGTTGAGCGTCTATCCAGTTGTATCCATATTTGAACAGATTTGGGTTTTCCCCTGATACTGGGCTGGTTTCTAACTCCATCTTATTGCCTGAAAGTAAGATGAATAATGAGAGTGATTACAGAGGATTAGAGCATGGACTCATGGAATCCTACCCCAGGCCTTTTGCAGCTCTCGCCTGAACTCCTTAATGCATCCTGGCTGTCACCTGCGTCCACTCGCTCGCCTTCCCTCAAATCCACTGTCTGTGTGCGCTCGCCAATGCAGGTGCTCTGAAGTGTCCCCGAGCCAGCGCCCCCCAAAACCCTTCTGTGCTTCCCATGCTGCAGGATCAGGCCTGAGATGGTGAATGTGGTCTCGAAGGCCCCTGGCGATCTAGCCCCACCTGGTGTCCAGTCAAGCCTCTCTGACACCTCCCTCCCACCTTGCACCCTCTCCCACAAAGCACCACTGGCTTCAACTTCCTGCCTCTGCCCCCTGGCTGTGCCCCTAGCTTCAGCCCGTGCTACCCTCCATCCTGGAAGTGCTCCTACAGCTTCTTCTCCTGGCCACACCCTGGTCTTTGTCAGTCCTTGTGGCTTCAGATGAGTCCTTCCTCAGAAGCCTTCTGAGCCCTGGCCCCAGCCATCCCCTCGTCCATCCCCCAGGTGGGCTTCCTTACTCCGGGCCCGTGTCATTCTGTGCACACCTTTTCTCCCCCTCAGCACAGGGCATCCACAGGCAGCTTGATTACTGGCCCCAAACTGGTGCTCAGCAAATATTTACAGAGGGAAGGAGGGAAGAAAGGCAGGTGGGATAGAAGGAGAAAGGAAGGGGTGGAGGGA